CAATACTTTATGGAATGTTGACCGCTTAAAACTTGGCAATAAAACATCTTCATTTATTTCTGTGAGTACTTTGTCTATCGTGGGTATTTCATTTCTGAAAAAGTACTCATGCACTTTCCTCCTGATTGCATGTTTATCAGCATCATCTATTGATTTTATAATGGTTTGACGATTCTGATTTGTATTCGGTTTGGAAAATGTATGATTTTGTTCATATTCCCGTAAAACATTGTAAATCGAAGCGCAACACACACCAATTTTATCGGAAACTTTCGATACGACTTTGTCGACAGTCGATGTCTCAATTTCTTCCATCTCTTTCTTGAACACATTTAAAATCACTTCTTTCATCTCAACACTCAAATGTCTTTCTTTGGATCGTTTCCTGGCTAGATTTAGAGAATAGCTCACAGTGTCATCAGCAGTGTCTGTACTGGACATCTTGGAGAACAATTTTAAACAATATACTATAACGCACGCCACACAAACAGGCAAATGATTGATTACAACCCTGTGCTGGTACCGAACTCGTACCAAGAAGGCGAATTCACCAATGAACGCTGCGTGAACATCACGCTTCAGTTTTGTTTTGTTTTACTCTATCTTGGATTTGGATAGACTTTGAACTGTTTTGAATCGACCCGTAAAATAGGTCGAAGATAATTTATACTTCATAATTTGGGCATTTCTAAGAATTTTCCTACTGATTCTTCCATATAGAAATGATTTTATCAGTCACGAAAGTGTTTTTTGTGCCCTAGATTGATAAAGTTTACCTCAATACACTTTAATAGTAAGATATTTTAATTTATTGCAATAATCATACACTTTTTCCATTTCTGTTTCCTTCGTGTGATTTTAAATACTTCCACTTCAAATATTTTTATCCTAAAAAATAATCGAAAAATCGGAAAGCCTACTAGCTCCTTACGAATAACAGTGGCTTGGAAGGAAATGAAATGCGGGACTGTGGGAAAACTACTGAAAATACATAAATTTCATCTCTCTGAAATGCTATTTTGAATAACTTTGCTTGCAAATAATTCTGAGCCTACCGGATTGGGCAATTTACGTCCTATAAGCATTTTGTGTGACTAGTCGAAATGCTTTTGAAAACATTCTGGATATGCAAATCCGTTTCCACCTTGCTGAATTATCCATTTTACCAAGCACTCAGTCTGGTTTTCCCAAAGGATTCAGTTGTACCACAGCTTTGATAAAAATAAGTGATGATATATTGGCTGACCCAGATACCTAATAATAATAACAATAGCTTTATTGTTTAACAGTTACGCATTTACAGGACAACATAAAATTATATTCACAATACTAAACCATAAACAACGAAAAATAAAATGAACAAAAAGGAAAACTAATTCTAATTATCTTCTTAAAGTACACGTTTGAAATTCTAATAATGTTATTGTTGTGTATTACATATATTTATATATTTGGGACACCCGTGATATCATTAGTGTAAATTATTATCCAGTGGTCAAATAGATGTCAATTAAAAATATCACAAAGAGAAGTCACATATCCATTATAAAGTGGTATTAATACATACATCAAATCAAATACTACTCATTCACAACAGTTTTGGCGACGAGGTGAATTAGAAAGATTATAAAAATCAAAAATAATCGAAAATAAAAACATTCAAAATGGACGCCCAACAGTTCAAAGAATTTATGGAATTTCAAACTGCAATGATATCTACTCTCTTTTCTCAATTACAAAGTTCACAGAGTCAGACAAACCGTGAATCATCAAGCAAGGGAGAAATTGTGATGAATACAGCACTTTTAGCTAACTTCGAAAATTTTGACAGCAAGAAAGAATCGTTTTCAAATTACAAAAGCAGGTTCCAGAATTACCTTCAAATGAAGCAGATCAATACAAATAAGCCTTATTGTGCTCAATTGCTACTAAATTCTATTGGAGCTCAAAATTTCAACATGATTACAGCTTTGGCTGCTCCTAAAACTCCTGATCAGTTGACATATGATGAATTGATAAAGTTATTGGAAGAACATCTTGCACCAAAGAAGAACGTTTTAGTTGCTCAACATCACTTTTTGTCAATCTATCAAAATGAACAACAATCAATTCCAGAATTTGTAAGTACACTTAAGAGTAATATAAGTGACTGTGAATTCACATGCGAGTGCAAGAAATCAGTTGCAGAAATCTTCCTGACAGCTCAATTCATTCGTGGCTTATACGATAATAGCATTCGTGAACAATTACTTCAGTCTGATAGTAAAACTTTCAAAGACATTTTTACGAGAGCAATTGCGCTCGAATCTTCGAAAATTGATGCTCGCAAAATTGCCCAGAAAACAATTTCAACGTCATCTTCAACAGTTGATATCAATAAAGTCAACTGTTCACACCAACATGTTCATAAAATGCACAGAAATCATTCACGTTCATATATCCCTTCAAGAAATAGAAAATCGAGGTACAATAGGCCACTCAGTCGCAAATATAACCTTGAATCACTAGGACTGCAGAATGTTTGTCTTAGGTGTGGGAAATCCAATCATATCACAAAAGATTGTCACACTGAACAAACCTCGCTTAAATGTACCTTATGCAACAGGACTGGTCACGTTTCTAAGGTCTGCATTACTTCATTAGTTGCAAATAAGACAAAATCTGAATCGGCTAATCAAATTCAAAACGACGATTCATATGAAATCGCACGACAATATGGTGTACAACATATTGTTGATATTCATCAAAATCATAATAGTTCTGACACTGATATGAATCGTTATTACGCCCACGTCAAAATAGAAGGAAAACCAATCAAATTCGAAGTAGATTCGGGATCAGCTTATACGTTTCTTCAACGTCAACAATTACAAGATTTGAATCTGAATATTCCTCTTGAACCAGCAACCATCGCATTCCGCTCATATACTCAAGATTTTTTCATACCCGATGGGAAGATTGTAGTTGACGTTTCTTATGGTAACATCAAAATAAAAGAAGATGTTTATATTGTGCCAGATGATTACGCTGTCATTCTTGGTAGAGTTTGGATCCGACGCCTCAAGATAGATTTGAACCAACTAAGTCAACAAAACACTTCAGTCCCCTTTGAAAGATTCAACCTGTGGAGTGTAGAGGAAGTGAGCGCCAAATATCCAAATGTTTTTGAAGAGAAAATTGGATGTGTTCCAGGTTTCAACGTTGTTCTCAAGTTATGTGAAGGGGTACAGCCATGTTTTCATCGTGAACGTGAAATTCCCTACGCACTCAGCACATTGGTTGAAAAAGAGTTGGATCCACTTGAAAATGCAGGAATCATAACGAAAATATCGATATCTGACTGGGGATCACCATTAGTCGTAATACCAAAGGCAGATGGAGGCGTACGTTTGGCTGTCGATTACAAAGTCGGAGTCAATGAGCGACTTATGAATTCACATTATCCAATTCGCAAAATCGAAGACATTTTGAATAGTCTACGTAATTCTCGATTCTTCTGTAGGCTCGATTTATACAAAGCCTATCTTCATATCAAGGTTGATGAAAAATCGAGTGAAATTCAAACAATTTCTACGCACAGAGGTACATACAGGATGAATCGATTATCTTTTGAAATGAAAACAACCCCATCAGAATTCAACCGTATCATGGATCAGAGTACACGTTTGAAATTCTAATAATGTTATTGTTGTGTATTACATATATTTATATATTTGGGACATCCGTGATATCATCAGTGTAAATTATTATCCAGTGGTCAAATAGATGTCAATTAAAAAGATCACAAAGAGAAGTCACATATTCATTATAAAGTGGTATTAATACATACATCAAATCAAATACTACTCATTCACAACAGTTATGAAGGTTAGCGGATAATATATCACAATGGAAACAAATGCTATTGAAATTCATACACAGAATTGAACATAGTGTTATTTGTTGCTCTGAGAGGTCTAAAAATGGACAGATCGTGAAACTGGCCGTGGTATATTGAAGTTAATTTGTTCCAGTGTTTTAGAACGGTCAACTCTCTCATTCACTAATTTGAATGAAAATAAGAGCGACGCACATTTTCTGCGATGCTCTAAACCAAAAAGGTTCAAACGTTTATATATGACATCATTACTGATACCTCTCTCAGGGTAAGAATCATCTATTCTGAAAATTAGAAATTTACAAAACTTTCTTTGAACTCTTATAATGAGTACGTTATGAATCTCATAGAATGGACTCCAGGCGATACTTGCATATTTCATCTTCGAACGATGAACTATGAACTATGTACCCTCGTGTTTGTTGATTACTTCAATCGATAAAATTAACCACCAACTTCTGGCTATTTTTCATTAAATATAATGTGACAATAAATGAGAAATGAAAATTATCAATAATAATGTATTTATCAATAATTGATAAGGTAGTTTATATGGCGAGTTTTTGACCGGGATTACCGGTTGACCTTGAATGATGCAACATTTAAAAAATGTTTAGAAGAAAAGTTGCAGGGAATCAATGTCTCTACAATATTAATTACAAATAACGAAAAACCCATAGGAAATATTTGCAGAAAATATGCAAAAAATCGATTTTTGTGATCTTTTCAGGAAGCTGGAGAGCCATACAAAAAAATAATTAGCCCTATCAGGCTAGCATGGCGACTCCAGCAGAAAGGTAGCAAGGTAACTCAATAAATTATATACTTTTCCTTTGATCTTTACTTTAGTTACTATTCAGTTGCTAAACCTTGGATATAGCGGAACATTTTCAAATAATTTTTTAAGAACAAGTAACTTTT